TGCGGGAAGCGGACGAGGGAGACGGGGCGATCGGCGGCTGGCCCCCACTCGGGGCGAGCGGCGCGTCGCTGCGAGTCTCGGACGAGGGAGCGCCCGCGGTAGACGGCACGATCGGGAGCCCCGGAGACGAGGAGAAAAAGGACCCGAGGCTCCTCATCTCGATCGGGGCGGTGGAGACCGCAGCGGCATCGATGGGTCGGGACAGGAGGGCCGCGAGAGAGGCCGGCAAGAAGCTAGCCATGGTGGAGCCGGAGGCGGCGGAGCCCGACATAGCTGGGGCAGCGGCGGCGCGATCTCAGGGACGGCGGCGGCGGCGCACAGACAGACGGCGGCGGGGTTTAGGGTTTGGGCGGAAGCGTGTTGACCTAGCGTGATACCATGTAAGACAATAGAGTTGGGGGAACCGGCTCAACCCTTTAGGGGTGGCCTATCTCACATATATATAACAAACGGGTACAAGTTACATCATACGTATATGTACGTATACAACTACAGAGACTATACAGTCTAACAACATAACGTGTGTGTGGGGTGGGGGTGGGGGTCTAATTAGTGATAGTTCATTGAGTTTCGGCAGCTAGCTTGTGCTGTCGGAACACACCCCACTATGTCCCCACATTCTGGCCCTAGCTTTGGGCCATGAGTGGCGGCATTGCCGTCGTCAGCGCCTGAGCCGGAGAAAAGAAAAAAGATCGGCTTTCAATTTGGTGATCGGCAACTTTGACCTAACTAAGAAATAAGTTTCAACCAAGGGCTTTCACTCGTATAATCTCCACGAGAGAATCAATTTTGAACTCTCACACAAAATGATCAACCGAATGAATCACAATCTCTTACCCAGTGAAGACAAACTCTCAACTTGTTAAAAATGGCACCTCCAACCCCCCTCCTCCGCGAAGCTTTCAGTCACTACAAATTCAACTAAAAAGGGGGACTATAAACACAAAAATAACTATATACAGCACTCTACCTCATGGTGTCAGCAGCAATTGCTGGGAAAAGAAAGCCCAGATCTGCCCCTCGCCTCACCAACTCCCAGCGCAGACACCAGCAAGAATGGCGGCGTGAACGGGGAGGGACTCGACAGTAGAGGAGGATGCGGAGCAGCGGAAGGAGGCGGCAAGTAACTGTGGTGGCGCTGCTCTGCAGGAAAGGGAAAGAAACACGCGGGATAAATAAGGAGAGAAAATAAAAGGGCGACGGCAGAGGTGGTGTTGGCGTCCAGTGTTAATGCAGTCGAGGGTGGAGTCGTGTGCTCGGAGCTCGTTCACCCGAACATAAATTAGCCTTTTTTTTTGCATATCATATAGATTTAACTATGGTTTAACTCTTATATCAGGTGAAAATTCTATTCTGCGGACCAGAACCTGTCAGAATCGCAACTATCCAGAAGATATATGACCAGATTGAAGGAGAGAACTTGTCCAGACTTATTTTGATATTGCAGGGAAAGATAATGCCTAGAGCTAAAGAGTCTGTTAAGGAGAAATTCACATTTAAAGTAGATATTTTTCAGGTTAGTTTTGTATAATTATTCATGGCTTTGTTGAAATTTAAATTATGTAAATGAACAACAGCATTGACTGTTGTAAATGAACAACAGCATTGACTGTGTTGAAATTAAAATTATGTAAACAAACGACATGCCATTAAGTAAAGCACATCAACTAATTTGTATGTACATTTTTGTGCATTCAATATTGATGCTTGAATGCTTGATGTAGTGTAGCATACTCTATTGGTTTGAATCAGAATCCAGTGTACAAGTTTCTGCAAGTTATGCTCTCAACCTTGAATACTTATTCGCAAAAAAACCTTGAATACTTACTCGTAGTTTCACGACTATTTGTAGTTTCATCACTTTAGTCGTGTACAGCTGATGCTTTACTATACATATATGATATATTATCTATATATTCTACATTATACACTTTATATTCAAACTGATGTGCTCCTCCAACTGAAGGTCAATGAGTTACTGGTTAACATTAGTAAGCATGCCCTGAAGCCAAAGCATGAAGTGTTGACTGCAGAAGAAAAGGCCAGGCTCCTGAAGAAGTACAATGTGCAGGATTCACAGGTACGTCTATCTATAATTTATTACTGATTACTAATCTGAATTAGGTGACAGTACTGAATATATTTATTCTAAATTGTTGCAATATCCAAGAAGTTTCTTTTTAGAGAGTCAGAAGTATATATCATTTATTTATTATAATTATATTGCCAAACAAGAATTCTTAAGATGGAAGCACATTTAAAATATGTTCTCATGGATTGAAATATTTGGGTCCAGCTCTAAGCTTTAAAAGTTTCTAGATTTCTGTTTTTTCAAGAACATGCAGTTTCTTTTTTTTTCTGGATTCTTTAGCCAGATGAGAACAGTTACCAGGTTGAACCAATATCTATTATGGAGAAAATATTTTCTAATTGTTAAAACAAAGAGTGACAAAACTGTCTGCACGTACAGTCTAGGGGTCATATGCCTACGGTGTCTCTCTTCACAAATGGGTATTACAAAATGTTCTAGCAACATTGAGTTGGTGCTTTGCATTTTTTAGTTGATCTTCTTGTTTGATTTATGGTTTATCTATATTACCAGTAGAGTTAAAACTTTGGCGACTTGTACGATCATGTTTTTGAGTATTATTTACTGGAACTCACGCTACGTCCGCAGAACTAATTAACTATTTTCCATGTGGAAAAATTAGTGATTTGCCACTCCAAAGAGTGGTGACTGAGGATTTGCTGTTTTTCAAATCTGCAAGTGCATTGATGATTTTCCACTGGGAAGAGAGAAATAGATGAAAAATTTCACCTTCTCTGTGTTATTCTATCTTCCTTTTTCCTTTGCTCGAGATATGAATGTAAGAATACAATATTTCTCTTTGTCCTCTCCTAGCTTTGCTTCTTCCCTACCTCCACATTTTCTCCTAAGGTAGCTCCCCTCCTGTCCCCATGCTTGAATACCAAGGAGGGCTTGATATCTCTCTTTCATCCCCTGTGTCAAATCCCCACCTTGGAATCTCCAAATCCTGATTGGATTATTCTCCTCCATACTCTGTCCTCAACCCCACTCTCCTAGTGCTATACAATCCCACCGCTGCCACAGCAGGAGTCTGCACAGAGGCGGCGGTGTACTTGTTCATGGACCTGGCAAACCTTCATATGGAGTACATTGGAATGCCAAGGTGCCCAACAGCTTCCCCTACCCTTATTTGTTACGAGGCTCCACACTCCCTGCCAAGTTCGTGACCCCCAAGCTTGGGAAGGAACTTCACTAACTATGGAGCCAGGCCCTCAAAAAAAAAGGGAGCCAACGCTATCATATTCTGAAAAAAAAACCTTGGCCTCAACTTTGTGGGCGTCTCCTGCTGTGTCATGAAATGATGTCAATGTCATCAATTGTACCTCCATTTTCACCTCTTGTGGCTGACCTGGTCCTTTCTTAAGCCACGGTGATCAATGTGGCATAGTATATAGCAGGCAGCAGGCTGTTCAGTGACAAACGTGTCAATACTAATACGGCAGGCGGCAGGGCATTTCCGTGATCAATGTGTCATGCTATATGCAGGCTGTAGGGCTATTCAAAGCCGGGTTCGCCAGCTGGTTAACTCTCCAGTTGAAGATGAGAATGACAAGAAGAGAAGGTACATGAGTTAAGAGCTTTTTTATGTAATGAGTTGGGCAAAAATGGGGTTGAACAGGCTATCGGGCGGGTGATGTTGGGAGCTGGCTTGAAGAATGAAGGATGGGGCTAGAGGAAAGGAGGAGTAGGTCAGTTGGAGGTGGAAGAGGATAAAACGTTGGAAATTGTATCTCATCTTCTCTCTTTGTAGTGTCAAATCTTCAATTGCGAATCTGCAAACGGCAAATCACCGATCACCATCTATTTTCCCCATTTTTTGTGGGGTCAAGTGTTTCATGCTAGAACAGTGATGTTATTTTTTCAGTCTTGCCGGCGTTGCAAGTTTTTTCCCCAGCGGGAACGATATTGCAAGTTGCTATGTGAACTATGTAGCATTTTTTTTGTTACATCGTGCTGGATGTCACTATTTCCTTCACAGAACAGCCTGGTCTGGCTGTTGCCTATTGGTCTGCATGTTAGTTCCTAGTATGTGCTTGATTGTGTTTGCAACATGAATGTGGCTGAAGGAAGATCACAATCCCTTGTTGTGCTTGGATGTGATGATGGAGACCATTGATACATGTTACCATCCTGACCACTTGCGTCTCATAGACATCATGCTGATAATTTTCTGATTTGCCACATTTTTTTGTGAGGTTGCCATATTATTTGTGTTCTTATTTGGTTTTGTTTAAACTAGAACTTTGATGTATTACTCAGTTTAAGACATTTAGTATTTCCACACACTAACTGATTGTGTTGTTACCATAAAAGAATTGAAGATAAGTATATTAATGTCTTAGTCGCTGTGGGCATAGCTCATTATCCTTTTGTCTGCCTGTTGGATTTTTCACATGCCTAAAATGCCAAACTGCATTCGTTATTAGTAGCTTCTTTTTGCATGAACCTTCAATTTCTTAAAATCCTCATCAAGTTGTTATATAGTTATTTTTAACCACGGTTTGCTGAAAATGGTGCTTTTATCTTTCAGCTCCCTCGCATGCTAGAGACCGATCCTGTTGCTCGCTACTATGGCCTCGGCAAGGGAACCGTGCTTAAAGTTACATATGACAGTGAGCTTACTGGGAACCATGTGACATACCGATGTATTTTCTGAGGGCTGCATGTGTTTCCATGGATGAAAGGTGTAGCAAGCTGTTTGTACAATCGTGTTAGCTCTATGCTGATTCATTGGCCTGAAGGTATTTGGAACTTCAGGCGTGTTACACCGAGCATGGTCTCACTGGATTCAAGCAGTATCCGTTTACTAGAGCTAGCATAGGTTTTACATACAAATCAGATGTCAGAAACCCGATTAAGATGAAGAACCAAGAAAGGAAAAAAGATTGGCTGTCAAATAATCTTTTTTCAGCTAACAACTGTGGTTTGGTCTGCTTGTCTTGGTTAAAATTTCGTCATCTGCCGCCTTTCTTTTGTGGATGTTGCTGCTCTCACCGCTGCTGTTATCCGTGGGGTTGCTGCTGCTGATGGTATCGCCGCTGCTGTTGTCCGTGGGGTTACTGCTGCTGATGGTAATGGTATCGCTGCTGCTGCTGCTGTTGTTTGTGGGGTTGGTCTCGCTGTTGCTTAGCAGGTCTTCGTCCTGGTGGCAGTGCTCTTTGCATCTGCTTTTCATTATGTGGGGCTTGAGCTTGCTCATGTCTGATAGCCGTACTGGTTTCAGGAAGAACTCATTTGCTCCTTCCTCCAGGCATCTGATTCAGAACAAACAAAACAGCAATTGTCAGAGTTCATTCTAAGATCCTGCTACTATATTCTAAGATCGTCTACTTCTTTTGATATATTTCTTTACAGCTTTATTTGTGTCCATATATCTGGGTTTTTACTTCATATGCGCAGATAGAAATAGACAAGTGGCAGTGGTGAGTTGTCTGCGACTATAACCCTTTTTATATAGAGATAATCGACTCAGAAGATCGACAACCGTATCATTTCATATCTTCACTATTTATTTGACACTAAATATTTCATGATAGAATATTAGCACGACGTGAGCTGGGTGGGGGTTGTTCCTTTATTAGAAGGCATGTGACCCCAAATCAATAAAGGATTCCAAGAGATCTTGGTGTCTAAATTTAGACCAAGGTCTATCAAACATGTAGTAATGACAGATGAGACTATCTGAATCTTTTCTAACGGTGGTTCAGCTATAAAGTTTCTAAATCAGCATCATCAGTAATCAATCTGGTTTCCAAAACAAACAAGATTTTGGGTCCGTAACCGTGCTCACCTGTTGATTCTGGAAGGTATGTTCTCCGATGACATGATCACAACCGGGATGTCTTTGAAAGACGACGACTCCTGATTCAACAAAAGCCAGATGGAGGACCATTAGCCACCATGCTCTTCAGGCTTGAGCAGACCAAATCAAACTATATAAAAAAGGCGGGTACCTTGATCTTCTTGAGCAGATCGTATCCTGTCATCCCAGGCATGCAGTAGTCGGTGATGATGAGGTTCACGTTCACCTCGACGTCCTGCTTAGGACCAAACCCATAATCAATCAATCAGGAACAATTTCAGAGCACTAGTAGTGTGGCTGCGCACATGATAAACCATCCATCTTCTTACCAGCTGGTCTGCATGGACAGAAGAAATGGAGGCGTCCTCGCCATGGAGCCCCAAGAACTCGAGAGCCTTGGTCCCGGAATCCACGGTGGTAACTGCGGAAACAAAGAGACTCTGCCTCAGATGCCATGCCACAGCAGGAACACAACTTCCTATGCTGCAAATGAAATTGATTGATACTACCTTGGAAAGAAGATGTCTTGAGGAGCCTCTCAATGAGCTTCCTGTCAAGGACGCTGTCATCCACGGCCAAGACATGGAACGGAGACTCCGCGATCGCCACCGCCATCGGAGAAAAAAAGAGAGAGCGTGTGTTTTGTGTGATGGAGGAGGATGCTATTAGGAAAAAGCAAGAATGGTAGAGGAAAGGCAGGAGGTGTGTGCGCTTGGCATGAGAGAGAGAGAGGGGGCTTTCCAGGAGCGTGTGGGTGGAGTCGAGTTTATATGCACCCGAAGCACATGAGAAAGGATTCCAGGGAGATATGGGGTGGGGAAAAGGTGGGTGGAGAAAACAAGTGTGATGACCAAAGGAAATCCCGCCTCATGGAAAGCAAGATCCGGGCCAGATTTCCCCCAAATCTTGCCATGAATTGACTCCACGATAGAATAGACCTGGCAGGCCCATCAGCCACAGCAAAGCCATGGTCCACCATTTTCTCTTGTTCCCTCCCTTTCTTTCTCGTTTCTTGGCCTGTCCTCTTGCTTGCTCGGCTGACCTGAAAGGAAGATTTGGGGTCGTTTCTGGCGATTTGGTAAAGCGGGAAAAAGATGAGGATATCTTCCACAGGTGTGACCTTGCGGTTTGATGCGCATCCATCTGATCTGTATAAAATCTGTTGGTGGTGCATCACTAGTTGGTTCCTACCCGGGAAGTCGAGTTTTCAGTACAGACGTGTTACGACCAGCTGCGAGTTATGTGGCTCCACATAGTATGCGGTGTTGCTAATCGGTGGCACTTCACTTGAAAGGGTGTGGGCGATGATGTTTCTTTTTAAACTCTTTGTAATGAACAAACATAGCAAATCTGATGGTCCGGGATGGCAATTAATGTTGTTGCGAGTATGGCAATTTCCTTTAGCAGATTGTATCGTAAAAAGGTGTGGGCGATGATGTTTTGCTACAAATCTGACGTCGGATTTGTGATCCTTGCGATGCTCAAGTTTTTTTTTTGCCGGCACTTGATATGCTTGCTGAAGAAAATTCTTATGCTCGCGACAACATAATTTGTCATTTCGGGCATCATATTTGACAAGCTTAAAAATTCATAGTCGGATTTTTAATATTCCTGATAGATATTAGAGGTTATTATCCCTTACTGCAAAAAATGAGGGCCTATTCATCGGGCACCTGAAATAAAAAACGGTGTTAACGACCAAGATCATGCGTGCAACTATTCCTCTTCAACCTCCACATGCAGCCGGTGGCGCTTCTCGGTTGGCTCATTGCCCCGCCCTCCCTTAGCCTTCCCCGCGGTGCTGCCTCCACCCCTGGCCATCTCTTAAAAGGTCTTGAGCAATTATTTTTTCGCCAAGCCCGCAATCCCCTCCAAACGCACCCTGAACCATTAACACCTGACTTGCCTCCACCCGAGACGCTGCAGGGAGCTCCCTCATCTCTGGCTATGACTCGTTCCCCTCCAACGCCTCCCCAATGTTCATGTGCCTCGCTATGCTCGTTCACATTTTCAGGTACCTAGGGCGCGTTTGATTACATCTCTGTTTTGGGGCATTTTACATACTTGCCCCGGTTGGGTCTGTTTGAGCTAATGCAAGTTAAAAGCCATAGTTTGGTTGCATGCATTAGGCTCCTGCATCAAGGAAGCAATTTCTACCATGATGTTTAGTTGCCTGCGTCGCTGTTGTTAGTAGTTAGGATAAACTACAATTTGCTCTGCCTCTGCTTCCGCTTCTCCTTCTTCTGCTTCTAAGACTGGAGTGTATGTGGGGTGGAATGGCTTCTGACCTAGGATCTTAGACATATTCTTCAGAGCTCCAAATACCCTCTCAACCGTAACTCTAAGACTGGAGTGTTTGAGATTGAACAGTTTCTGAGGAGTCCTAGGATAGTTCCTACCAGAGAACTCGTTCAGATGGTACCTGCTTTCCTGAAGGGTGGAAGAACACCTGGACGGCATGCATAGCCATCATCTCCTAAGTAGAACTTGCCATCGGGGATGTTGATGCCATCGGGGATATTGATGTTGTCACTTAGAATGTTAGCATCATGTGCTGATCCTCCTCAGCCAGCCAGCACATATGTGAACTTTAGATCAAAGTCAACAACAGCAAGCACATTCTGACTTGTGTAGTGCTTCCTCCCCCTGTATGTTGCAGATTGTGACCTAGTTACTCTGGCAGTGACACGAGCACCATCTATTGCCTCAATGACAATCCTGAAATGGCATTACAAGATGGTGTTATGGCTATAGCATAACAATACAAGCATATCAAGGCATGCTACGTACTGTCGGTGCTCACCTTGAAGTATGGATACCATCTTGGGCTAGTGTGAATCTTGTTAGGAGTCCGGCCGGTTGGTGATCTGATCATCTCTCCTCTGAGTTCCCCAACAACATACAACACTTGTCTGAAGTACCTGGAAATGGTCTCCACTGATCTTCTGAATGTGTTGTGCATAACCCTGAACCTCTGTTATGACCTACAACATGGAGGAACATGCTAACTTGTTCTTCCACAGTGGTGTGTATGCTATCTTGTAGCAGCTGCCCTGCTTCTGAACGTCTGCACAAACTTGGTGAAAGGTGCTCTTTTTATTCGAAGCATCCACAGAGCCTCTGTGTCATTGCGGTTGTAGATGTAGTTCAAATTCACTATCCTCTCCCGATTCCGGATTAACATCGGACCGGATGACAAGCTTGTCATTCCGACGAACAACTCTCTTATGGACCAACAAGATCCAGGCCCGAAACACAGCTATTACCGATGCTGCCTGGACTACAAGCTTCATCCGTCCATCCACAACCTAAGCGACATCCATGGTGCGGTCAACAATGGCGCAATCGACCCTAAACTATCCTAAGAAACGACCTAACAGAGGAGGGGGGTGTATGCTGGTTACTAGCTCGGGGTCGGGGGCATGAGACAAGGATAGTCGGATGGAGTTGAAGAAGAAGGGGAGAAGCAGTTGATGCTGCCGGAGAGTGCTGCTGCCACCACCAACGCTGCCGCTTCCGCAAATCT